CTCAGTGTCCAAAGAAATGTGTTTCTCCCTATGTCCCCTTGGATCATTTTGCTCAGGTTTTCCCTACATATCACCAATCATACATTGCTCAGACATCTGTACTTTGCAGTTAGGCAGCATAATCAGGAAAAAAATAACCATGCTTATGCTGAATACATCATCAACTCGGCAAGAACAGTCTTGCAGTAACCTTTCCAGATTGCAGGCCTTAGGACGGCTGATTACATAGACTGAACAGGAAACAAGAATAAGATTTGCAATGAAATTTGGTGGTGGGTTGCAACTGGCTGAATAAGGTTGCCCCGTTCCTTTTGATAGTGTTCGTTTCTGAACTTTGTGAAGCCTTCAGAACTTCAGTCTTTCTTTTCTATTTTGCCATTTTATAATTTCTGATGTGTCTATTAGAAAGCACACTTTGAATTTTCAATTTGAAGGTTAAATTTTAAACACGGTATTAAAGAAAATTGAGATGCTTTAGGCTTCTTAACATATCTTAATTATTTATTTTTACAGGCCAGAAATATGGTCTCACGCTGACAGCTGTCAAACACTAGTTATCACTGCATGTTGTCTATCAAATTCTAAAGTTTTTTTTAAAAAAAAATGCATTACACCTTAGCTATCAAATATTATCAAATGTTAAATGATCTGCATGACAACCAGCATACACTATTAAATATGGTATGTGTCTTTTCCAGGATATTTTTCTCCCCTGGAAACTTTGGGTTTTGAAGCTTATCGAGGTTCCTTAAAGAAAAGAAGGAGTGAAAGACAGTTTGCCAACCACTACAGAATTTTTTCTTTGAAGTGCAGACTGTGGGGAGAATGCAGCTAACTCTATGAGACAACAGGAGATTTCCACCAACAGACAAGGGAAGGAAACAATATGCAGTCATTTCCCTCATCTCACTTTAAGAGACTAGGTCGTGCCCCCCCCCCTCCTAAAAATTGTTCTATGAAATTGCTCAAACTACTGAAACAGATTGGAGTGGTGGCACAATAAGGAGAACTGGAATTCCTGGAAGTTCTGCTCCGTTCCATTCATTCACCAGTTGAAGCTTTCAATGGAAGAGGAGGGGAGTAGTTGAAGAAAATTGTGTTCTTGGCAAGAAGAGGGTAGATTTTCAGTCAGCATATAAAATCTACTTTAAGTTTTCATTAAGATCCTGGTGACAGATAAAAGATAGTTGCTCAGGAGGCAAAATCAATTACAAACCTGGCAAAAACAATTTTGGATCTTTCCTACTGGCCATGCTAACTAAAGACATCTGTGATTTCTCAAAAAAAAAAATCCTCAAGCAAAAGTCTTACCAGGTTCTAGATGTCTGGACCCCATGAGCTATATCTTGGAATGTCCAGGGTGAGAGAAAGAATTCTTGTCTTCTTGAGGCCAGTGTGAATGTTGCAAATGGCCATCTTAATTAGCATTTAATGACCTTGCAGCTTCAAAGCCTGGCTGGTTGCTGCCTGAGGGAATCCTTTGTTGGGAGGTGTTGGACGGACCTGATTGTTTCTTGTCTGGAATGCCCCTGTTTTCAGAGTCTTTTTCTTTATTTACTGTTCTAATTTTCACGTGCTTAGCTTTCAACAGGCCTCGCAACCTCTGGGGATGCCTGCCATAGATGTGAGTGAAATGTCAGGAGAGAATGCTTCTGGAACATGGCCATACAGCCCAGAAAACCCACAGCAACCCAGTGAAACCAAGTGTGTTAATACTTGGTTTAATACTGGTAGCCAGATTTTGTTCATTTTCATGGTTTTCTCTTTTTTGTTGAAATTGTCCACAATCTTGTGGATTTCAATGGCTTCTCTGTGTAGTCTGACATGGTGGTTGTTAAGAGTGGTCCAACATTTCTGTGTTCTCAAATAATATGCTGTGTGCAGGTTGGTTCATCAGGTGCCTTGCTATGACTGATTTCTCTGGTTGAGTTAGTCTGTGGTGCCTTTCATGTTCCTTGATTCATGTTCCTTGATTTAACTGACTTGCAAGTTTAATTCCATTTTAACGTTTATGTGTTGTAGATTTTAAATCATAATGTCTTTTCTTAACCTTGTGGGCAGCTTTGGGTCTTGATCAAGAAACAAAAGTGAGCCATTTATATAAATAAAAATCTAATGTTCATTTGTGGGATTAACATAACTCAAAATCCGCTGGACAAATTGACACCAAATTTGGATGCAATACACCTATCAGGCCAACAAGTGACCATCACTCATAAAACACTGAAAAACACAGTGAAAGAGACTTTAAAAGCCAAAAACCAAAAAATTACATTACATACACAGACTGGGCCACAGCTATGTGTGGCAGGGGACGGCTAGTAAATAATAATAATAATAATAATAATAATAATAATAATAATAATAATAATAATATCAACCACAATAACCCATCTTCCATCTTTCCTCTCCAAAGGGCTTATGAAGCAGAAATTATAGCAAATTTGCCATTTAAGGTGTTATCTTGTGCCTTGGTGACATCAGAAACACTATTTTGTGATATTTGGGTTTGGTCCTGATAAAGATATTGCCTGGCTGTAGATCTTGGAACACTTCTAACCCATCCTTTTCCCCTCTTATCAGTTCTTGCCCTTTTCTCGTGTAGGTTTACATTTAATCTTTGTGCTACCAACACCACTTGCCCTGATGCCTCTTTTCCTGAAGAATGCCCTGTGTAATATATTGAAGAGAGAGGTTAGTGTGTATCTTTCCCAAATAAGGCCCCTCCTTTCCATAATCCCCCAATATATTTCCTTTGACTCTGTTGGATATAATGATAAGATTTCCTTTCCTTCACTCCGATGTAACTCAAGGTATTTCAGGGTGTAAAAGGCATTGGAGAGGGAACCTCACGGAAATGGAAGGCATTTTTGGCGCGGGAAGAGTGGCGTGTATACACTGGGGAAACCAGTGTATACACAATAGAAAGCGAAGGGAGGCAGTTGGGCGCTGGGATAGACTCTGGAGACCAGGGTTCAGTCCCCACTCAGTCATGCCTGACTTTGGGCAAGTGACACTCTCTTAGCTCGGAGAAAGGCAATGGCAAATCTCTTTTCAACAAATGTTGCCAAGATAACCTCCTGATGTATCCTTAGATACATCCATTGTGTTTTGGTTTGATGCTTTCAAGACACAAAACAACACAATGGATGTATCTGAGGAAGCAGAATCAAATCTAGGATAGCTTATGCTACTGAGATCTTTCTCTCAGTCTCAAAGGAGCGCCGAAATCCATTTGCATCTCCATTTCGGGCTATCTTTGAATGTGTGTCCAAGTGACTCGGAGTATTCGTGGGGGGAGTGAAAAAGGCTGGGAAGGGCAATCCTGAAAATGGAGGGGAGACCGCTTCGAAGAAGTCACACTTGGTTTCCCTTCTCTGAAAGGAATTCGCTTCTACTTTGCTTGAAGGGAGCGTGAAAAACTCATTTCAAAAGGGCAGGTCTTTGGCACACAGAAAGGGAGGGAAGAAGCAAGGGCTGCCTACAATGTCTACATTGTTGACCAGGCATGGGCAAACTTGGGCCCTCCAGGTGTTTTGGGCTTCAACTCCCATCATTTGGACTTCAACTCCCATCATTCCTAACCCTTTCCTTTTCACCCTCAGACGCTTGAGCGACAAGCAAAATAGAGCTGAATGAGGAATCCTTGGGCAAACTTGGGCCCTCGAGGTGTTTTAGACTTCAACTCCCACCATTCCTAACAGCCTCAGGCCCCTAACCGGCTGTTAGGAATGGTGGGAGTTGAAGTCTAAAACACCTCGAGGGCCCAAGTTTGCCCAGGCCTGCTGTAGAAGGAACAAAGTTTGACACCACTTGAACTGCCATGGCAAAGAAAGAAGTCGCCTAGGAACTGTAGTTTAGTGAAACACTCTATTAGATCAAGCTAAAGACCTTGTAAAACTACTGCTTCCATAATACCATAGCATGGTGCCATGGTATTCTACTTTGTCAGAAGATGTGTACGTTTTTCTTCTTTTGTGTGTGTTCTTCGTGGAGGGGGGAAAAGACGGAGAGCGGCAACTTCTGGACGCGGAGGGGAAACATTTAGAAGTATTATTATTATTATTATTATTATTATTATTATTATTATTCCCTTCTGAGAAGGGGATTCCCCATTCAGATTTATTTTGCTTGAAGAAAACATTAGAAACTCGTTTCAGAAAGAGAGGGAAGAGAGATGGGCCTCCTCTACACTGTAGCACAGGCCTGGGCAAACTTGGGCCCTCCAAGTTTAAGCGGCTGAGGGGGGAAAGGAAAGGGCTTGAGGCTGTTAGGAATGGTGGGAGTTGAAGTCCAAAACTCCTGGAGGGCCCACGTTTGCCAGGGCCTGTTCTACAGTGTAGAGGTGGATGAGGGCGAAAAGACAAGGAACTGAGGCTGTTAGGAATGATGGGAGCTGAAGTCCAAAACACCTGGAGGGAGGGCCCAAGTTTGCCCATCCCTGCTGTAGAAGGAATGCCGTTTTGGAACACCACTTGAACTGCCATGGCTTAATGCTTTGGTCTCTTGGGATTAGTAGTTCGGTAAAGGCTTCCTGAGGGCCCTTCACACAGTCTTATATCCCAGAATATCAAGCCACATTATCTGAGTATGGACTCAAATAACCCAGTTCAAAGTAGATATTGTGGGATTTTCTGCCTTGCTATTCTGAGATATAGAGCTATATGGAAGGGCTCTTAAACTACAGCTCCCGGGGTTCCATAGCATAGAGCCAGGGCAGTGAAAGAGGGGTCAATCAAACAGCCTTCACTCTGCGACGGAGAGATGCACCCCTGCTCTCAGCGTCTGTGGGAACCAGACTGGTCCAGGCTGCGCGCGCGTGTGTTTGGCCTTCCCCTCGGCCCCGCCCCCTTCCTGTCAACACCAAGACCCTCCTCCTCCTCCTTCCTCCCCCTCCTCCTTTTCTCCTTCCCTCCCCCAAACCGGGTTCCCATCTCCGTCGTCGCCTGATTGGCCGAGGCGCTGACAGGAGGCGGGGCCCGAATTGGCCTCCCAGCCCGCCCTCCGCTATAAGCCTCTTTGCCGCTTTCCCTCTCAACCTCTCTCGTCTCGGGCTCTTGTTTTCTGCTCTCTTGTCTCTGGGAGGGGAAGAAAAAAAACATAAGCCAAGCCAACCCTTGCCCTTCCACTGCCAGACCCTCCTCCGCCTTGGGGAGCTGGGCTTGAGAGCGGGGGCTGCAGGAAAGCGCGCCCTGCCGTCCCCACCGTCCTTGACTTGGTGAAGGAGAAGAAGAAGTAGCAAGAGGGGGAAGAAGGACAGAAACTCCTTCCCGCACTCTTCTCCCTTCCTTGAACTCCCCAGCCCACCACAACCAAAACCCACCCGGCCTCCTCCACCCTCTCCTCCTCGCCTCACCAAAGAAACCTTGAGAGGAGGCGAAGGAGGGAGAGGAGTAGAGACTCTCGAGAAGCATTTTGGAAGCGCTTGAAGGCGAGAGAAGGAACACCTGGGGGAGGAAGGAATGCTTTTCGCCGCCGAAGAGGCTCGCCCCGACCGCCGCCTCCGTTGCCACCGCTCTTGCTGAGGAAAAAGAGGGATTTGTTTAAAGCTGGGAGCAGCTACATGACTGCGAGGAACGAGGGGTCGCCAACACCATCATGCGAGGTAAGGCCCGGGGAAGGAAGGAGAGAAGGAGGGAGCGAGCGAGGGAGGGAGCCCCCCCCCCCTCTGCCTGGATCGGGGCGGCGCAGGAGAGGCCGGATCCCAGCCTGATCCGGCGCTTCCCTCCACGCGCCACTCGTCCCAGGCGTTTCGAAGAGTCGGTCGGGATTATAATTCGCCGTGAGCGGATCGTGACGATCGGGGAAGAGGGAGGAGGGAGCAGGGGAGGGATGCTGAGCTCAGCTGGCGCGCTGGGAAAGTTCGCCTCCAGTTGGAGCTCCGTTGGGAAACCTGTCCCGGGTCGACTCTTTTGCGCCCCTTGAGCAGCCAGAGGAAAGTGGGGGGTGCTTTGAATTATGACTGTATCGTTCTCACCCTATCTTGTAATCCTGTGCCAAAATCTATTATTATTATTATTATTATTATTATTATTATTATTATTATTATTATTTATTTCTGTTTAATTGTAAAAACAGCTGCCTCTTGAGTTACACTTCTGAGCGAATATTTCTAATAGGGAAAAGAGTTCTAGTAGAAACTTAAGCAGGGAAAAAGTGCGGGAGGGGTTCTCCACCAGGAACTTGAGCTTGGAAAAGGGATTCTCTAGTAGAAACTTGAGCAAAATGGGGTTCTCCATCAGAAAGTTGAGTTGGGAAAAAGGTTTCTCTAGTAGAAACTTGAGAGGGGGAAAGGAGGTTCTCCACCAGAAACTTCTAGCAGAAACCTGAGTAAAATGGGGTTCTCCATCAGAAACTTGAGCTTGGAAAAGGGATTCTCTAGTAGAAACTTGAGAAGGGGAAAGGGGGTTCTCCAGCAGAAACTTGAGCAAAATGGGGTTCTCCATCAGAAAGCTGAGTTTGGAAAAGGGATTCTCTAGCAGGAACTTGAGATGGTTCTCTAGCAGAAAATTGAGTTGGGGAAAGGGGCTTCTCCAGAAGACTCTTCTAGCAGAAATTGAGCAAAATGGGGTTCTCCAGCAGAAACTTGAGCTGGGAAAGAGGGTCCTCTAGCAGTTCTCTTGTAGAAACTTGTTTTGGGGAAAGGGGCTTCTCCAGAAGAATCTTCTAGCAGAACCATGAGCAAAATGGGTTCCTCTAACAAAAACTAGAGCTGGGAAAGGGGGTTCTCCAGCAGAAACTTGAGCAAAATTGTGTTCTCCATCAGAAAGTTGAGTTGGGAAAAGGGATTCTCTAGCAGAAACTTGAGATGGTTCTCTAGCAAAAACTTGGGTTTGGGAAAGGGGCTTCTCCAGTAGACTCTTCTAGCAGAAATTGAGCAAAATGGGGTTCTTCAACAAAAATTTGAGCTGGGAAAGAGGGTCCTCTAGCAGTTCTTTTGTAGAAACTTGTATTGGGGAAAGGGGCTTCTCCAGCAGAATCTTCTAGCAGAAACATGAGCAAAATGGAGCTCTCCAGCAGAAACTAGAGCTGGGAAAGGGGGTACTCCAGAAGAATCTCCAAACAGAAACCTGAGCTGGGATGGGGCTTTCATACTAAGAAGAAAACAAGCCAGCCAAGAGATCCATGCCCTGCTCTGGGCATGTTTTCAAGGGTCCCCCATACACACACCCCTAAGGCTCGCCAAGTCACCTTCATCCACGAGGAGGGGAGACCCTTTATTTTGGCCATTTCCACAAAGTAGAAAGTGAATGGGCAAAGTGTGTTGGGAGGAGGGTTACCTAATGTAGTGCACGACTAAAGTGATGCCAACAGGAAAGAGTGCAGTCCAAACTTCCTCAAAGTGCCCCCTCCTGATATTGGCTGCGTTCCTCTCCCTCTTTAGTTCTACAGTAGATAAACAGATTTTCTTTGTGGCAGGGAAAGCTGTTCATGCCACAACTGCTTTCCCTGTGCTAAACTACAACTTCCAGGCCACCGAGGCATCGCCACCGTGGGCTGGATCCTACTGGTCAAGTTTGCTTCTTCCCCGGAAAAGTATCTTCTATTGACCACCCTGAGTTCTTTGTCTGAAGTTTTGGGGAGCAGCAAGGAGCGGTTTCATGGCTCCCTCCATCCACCCACGCGTGGATTCTCAATCCTTGCTCCCGTGGCATAACCTACTCCTTTTTTCCCAGTCATGAAAGGGCGAAGGGGAGTTAAAAGGGGGTGTGTTTGCTCAAGGGGGTTAATGAGGTGCTTGACAAGGCAGGGGTTTGTGGGGTCTCTCTCCTCCAGGGGAATCAGTTCCTCTGTCTTACCAGCCGGGCAGACTCTTCCATCCTGAAAAGGTCCCAGGAGGGAAAGAGGCATTGATACCTGTTTGTCCCCAGCCCACAACGCTCTTCTGTTGATTACTTCACCCTTTGATTTATCTCTAGCCTTTCTCACATTTCCATCCATCCATCCAACACTCCTGAGTCCTCTACATCCAACTTTTTGTGAAAGATGTTATAACTTCTCCTTGTAATGAAGTCACACTACTTCCTTACATCTTGATCCTTAACACCGAATAATGTTGCTTCCTCACCTTGGCCTAATTCCTCATTGGTGGGATTGATCGTGAACCAGGAGAGGGGGTTACAAGGTAGACATTCGTCATGATTTCTGGATCACTTCCTGCCTTCAAAGTTCTTCTCATGTCCTAGGATGCATCTACATCGCAGTCTGAACTGCCATGGATCAATGCTATGGCATCATGAAGATTGTGGTTTGGCGAGGTCCCAGAACTCTTTGTCAGAGAAGGCTTCATACCTTCTCATACTAAAGCTCCCACGATCCCATCGTATTGAATCATGGCAGTTAAAGTGGTGTCAAACTGCATTATATCTACAGTGTAGAAGCATACCCCTCTCCTAAATCTCAATGGGGAGCAAGTTGGAGCTTTCATCTTCCCAAACTTATATATATACCCAGGGCCCTTCCACACAGCCATATAACCCAGAATATCAAGACAGACAATCCCACAATATCTGCTTTGAACTGGGTTATCTGAGTCCACACTGCCATATATTCTAGTTCAAAGCAGAAAATGTGGGATTTTATACAGCTGTGTGGAAGGGGCCCCAGAGAGAAGTCACAACTAGTTTGGACTAGGACTTGAGAAGCACTTGACAAGCAGAAAGTGCTCCAGAAGTTATAACTAAGGTAAACCTTGTAAATTTCCCCCACCCTATCCCATCGTGATCAGTTCCACTGATTAGTGGCCGAGAGACTCTAGTAGGTGATCAAGGCACAAAAGGGTGCATCTACAATGTAGAATTCCTGCTGTTTGACACCACTTTCGCTGCTGTGGCTCAATGCTGTGAAATCCTGGAAGTTGTAGTTTGGTGAGGCAACAGCACTCTAGCAGGAAAGGCGAAACACCTGGTAAATGTATAGCTCTTAGTATTCCATAGCCTTGAGCCATGGGAGTTAAAGCAGTGTCAAACTGCATTAATTCGAGATGCACCCTAGATAGAGCCAGACTGAAGCAGTGGTGGGCTTCCTTCACGATCTTCTTTGGTCTTCCCGGGCGTTAGAATCATAGAGTTGGGAGAGACCTCATGGTCCATCCAGTCCAACCCCCTGCCAAGAAGCAGGAAAATTGCATTCAAAGCACTCCCGACAGATGGCCATCCAGCCTCTGTTTAAAAGCTTCCAAAGAAGGAGCCTCCACCACACTCCGGGGCAGAGAGTTCCACTGCTGAACGGCTCTCACAGTCAGGAAGTTCTTCCTCATGTTCAGATGGAATCTCCTTTCTTGGAGTTTGAAGCCATTGTTCCGCGTCCTAGTCTCCAGGACAGCAGAAGGCAAGCGTTAAAATGAGAGGCAGCTTGAAAAAGAGAGAGGCGTGGCATTGTTTGGTTGCGTTTCGGATCTCAATCTCTTCCCGCAACTAAGCTTAAGATGCTCCTTCCCTGTGGTGCGGTGCCCTTGGGGTCTTGGCCTGGGCAGGGGCTCCCCACCGCGTTGCACGGAGTTGCTTAATAACTTTGGGGCAGCCAAAAGGAAAGAGGAGGAAGAGAAGAAACTTCCACGGAGAGGTGGGCTCGCTGGGCTTCATTGGCGAGGGGAACTTTCCTCTGCGTTGACAGTCGCCTCAAAGAGAGAGGAAGGAGGCGACTGAGAGAATCCCCTCCAAACAGAAAAAGCGGGGGAGGGGGCTTGGTGGGATCAAGGTTGAGTTGGGGCAGATCCTGATAGTGCTCTTCCTGGCAGAAGAGATGGATTAAAAATGTATTTGGGAGGCAGGATCCAAACCATCTTGCTTTAAGAAGGGGCTGAGATCCTGGGGGAGGGCTGTACGTGAAGAGAGACAGAGTTGAGGGAAGCAGTATCCCTCCCAAAGGGCTCAACGTGTAGCCAGTGTTTTCCTGCAATGTTTGCGGGAGGGGAGGGGGTTGTTTAGGAGGCGCAGTTGTAGAGCTGCAAGGTGACTTTCAGCCCACGAGCGATGATTGTCTCCCCCCCCCCCCGAGGCGAACTCGCAGCGGGGTCAGAAATACTTCCAAGCCCCAACTATAACAACACTCAGGGGACCATATTTGTTTGTGTCTGTTGCTCTTCCTTGTAAAGAGCAGCAATATTGCCCTTTTCTATTCCTTTCCCTTGCTTCTTAGGATAACTGGTCTTATAAACCTAGAGATAAAAGCACATAAGAAATGCAGATTAAAAGTTCTGTGTAAGACCTTTTCTAGCCGTGGGTGCTTCCCTACAATATAGTCTGACACAACTTTAACTCTCATGGTTCATATAGGACAGGCATGGGCAAACTCTAGCCCTCCAGGTGTTTTGGACTTCAACTCCCAGCATTCCTAACAGCCTCAGGCCTCTTCCTTTTCCCCCTCAGCCGCTTAATGCTGGGAGTTGATGTCCAAAACACCTGGAGGGAGGCCCCAAGTTTGGCCATCCCTGTCCTATATGAACTATAGTTTTAGCCTTCTTCAAAGAGTTGTGTGCCTCACTAAACTTCAAACCCCAGAATTCCATAGCACACACACACACACACACACCTCTGCTCAGGTTCCAAGGAGAATGCACTCTGCATATGCTCAGAGACCTTCTCTTCCTTTGGCAGAGCGGGA